TCCTGACAATATGTCCAAAGTATGAGAGATGAAGGCTGGCCACCTTGGCCTCCAAGGAGCACTCTGGCTGCACTTCTTCCAAAACTAATCTATTGGTTCTTTTGGCAGCCCCTGGCACTTTCAATATTCTCCTCCAACACCATAACTCAAAAGCATCAATTCTTGTATAGTCTTCCTTATTCACTGTCCAGCTTTCACATGCATATGAGGTAATTGAAAATACCATGGCTTGGCTCAGGCACACCTTAGTCCTCAAGCTGACATCTTTGCTCTTCAACACTTTAAAAAGGTCTTGTGCAGCAGATTTGTCTAACACAATACATCGTTTGATTTCTTGACTGCTGCTTCCATGAGTGTTGACAGTTGATCCAAGAAGAATGAAGTCCTTGACATCTTCAATCTTTTGGTCTGCATTGTAGGCTTACTGATATTATCCTATCATGGACAGGAACTATGATCCTTTCTCTTTGATTCCAACATTCACATTCCAATCACCAATCATTATTGATGCATCTTGTTGGCATGCTTGATCAATTTCAGACTGAAGAAGCTGATAGAAAGCTTCAATCTCATTATCACTGGCTTTATGATTGGTGCGTAAATCTGAATAAAAGTAGTATCAACTGATCTTCTTTGTAGGCATGTGTGTATTTTTCTATCACACACAACATAGTACTTCACAATAGATCTTCATGAAATGTTCTTTTTGATGATGAATGTGATCCTATTTCTCTTCACTTTGTCATTCCTGACATAGTAAACCATGTAATTATGAAATTCAAAATGGCCAATACCAGTCCATTTCAGCTCACTAATGCCTAGGATATTGATCTGTATATGTTCCATTTCATTTTTTACATACTTCATATATCCCATGTGCTGATTATTAATGGATGCTTGCAGCTGTTTCTTCTCGTTTTGAGTTGTGCTGTGCCATATCAGCAAATGGTCAACCTCACCTCTCTTCTTCTATTTTTATGAGCCTCCCAGTTTGTGGTAGCCTGTTTAGGTATCTCTAGAAACTAATATAAAGGGAGTCCTGTGTGGCATTGAGGGTTAATGTGCTGGACTGCAAAGTCATTTGAACTGCAAGGTTGGTGGTTCAAGCTCACCAGCCGCTCCTCAGAATCCCTGTACAGGGTGGCTATGGGTTGGAATCAACTCCATGGGACTCAACAACAACAACAGAAACTAATATAGCCCCTTCTTCTCTGACCCCTTCCTCATTCAGAATGTGCCTCAGCTTCAGTGGCAAGCGAAATGACTCCCCTGGTGGCAATTTGGCACCCTGGTAGACAAATGCCTAGTACTTTCCCAGCATCATCTTCACGTGCCCATACAGGTGGGAACTAAAGCCTCTGCAGAATACACTATGAATTGATTCATGTTAAAACTAGCATCCCTTTTTCCATAGCACCTATGTATGCATGGCTCTATCCAATTACTTATATTGTTACAATGGATTATCCTATTGGCTTTCTGCCTCGGCCCCAGGTCACACGGTTCCATCCCCTACACTGGTTGAAACATTGAAAGATTGGCAGATTAGCCCAAGCTCTCCTCCTCAAGTGCAGGCAATGGAGAGTTGGCTGCACAGATTCCAAAGGCAGATAGATTTAGAAATGGGGGCAGACAGACAGATAGAATGAGGATTCAGGAGATGCTGATCTACCCAGCTTTCCCCAGTCCTTCTCTGAAGACACAGGTGACTCAAGCAGGGTTGACAGCTGCCTCTGGCCAACTGAACTTGCAGGAGGTACCACCCACACATCATCACATCATCATATCATCAATCTTAAACAGAAATAAAAGTGATCATCTTGTGCTAAGCATTCTCTAGCCCATCCAATTTAAATAATACTGTCTCCAGGCTTGTTGTTATACTCAATTTTAATAGCTCAGCCTACTATTTTAGGTACAGATGGAGATATCTGCTGTTTTCAAATTAGCCTCCAGTATTCATCATGAAGTCATCAAATCTTTCCCTGCCAAAACTCATATACCTTAATGCTGAAGTATTTCTGGGTTTATTATCTCTAGTAAGCAGCAGATTTGCTCAAGGTGGACTAGGCATTCAGTTCAGCCAATGATCTGCCCTGCAGCCTGGTTCATCCTTGTCCCTAATGCCTTGCAGGAGAACCTTGTCACCTATGGAGGCCCATGCAGCCAGCCAGATTTCAGAGCGCTGCTCTCTGTTGGAAATCTCCAATTGTCAGTGGAATACTTAGTAGAGACAAGTCATTTGTGTCTTTCCTGGGGTCTGCTATAGCACATCAGAGGGGAAAGTACTTATCTCCAAGCAGAACAGCATTCGAATCCCACCCTATTGCTCACTGTGTGATCTCAGGCAAGTTCCTCAACCTCTCTGAACCTGATTTATTTTCTTCAAAAATTGGGCCAGTTATACCCAACTCACAGGGATTCCGGCATGAGTATTAAATGAGATAGAACATATAAAGTCTACAGCACACAGCAGGACTTCAATATAAGCTAGTTTCCTTTTATCATTCTCTGCGGTTGAAGTAGCATTAATTAGTGTCTCATAGTTTGTGAATCACACAGAAGGTTAGAGTCTCTGGTGTAAGCTGCTCTGGGTACAGGCGATGAAGCTGAGCCCTAAACACCACTGACCTCCTAAAACATATAGACAAACCCTACCCTTTCCTCTTGCCTACACAGTGAGTTTAGACTTGGGAGCCCTTCACCAGAGAGAGATTCTGCTTAACTTTCAGGAATGGCATTTAGGGCTTCATGGGATAAGCACTGCTCACTCAAGGAAGAGCATTCATACAAACAACAAAGTGGATGGTACCCCTGGATCCTTGGAGGCCTCCATGAGGAAAAGAACACACCTTCTCTTATTACAGGGAGCCAACAATAGGGACAGATACTCAATGCCTTGTTGCCGGTGTGGAACCTGAAGACAGATGCCTGGGATGCTGGCCTCAGAAAACAAAGTGGACCCTTAGGGGCCTCTAACAGATACCCAGTTTGGAAAGGGAGCCAAACTGTAATCATTCAATTGGTAAAGAGCTATTAAAACTCTACTATGAGGGGCTGAGGAGTCTCTGAGTAATGTAAATGGTTAATGCACATGATTGTTTATGCACTGAAAGGTTAGAGGTGTCTCTGGAAGTGGTTCAGAAGGAAGGTCTGACAATTTACTTCTGAGAAATCCACCATTAAAAACCCTGTGGAGCACAATTCTACTCTGGCACACATAGGGACTCTATGAGCCAGAATCAACTCAATGATTACTGATTTGAGCCTTATGAGGCACCATCGTAATTGTTGTTATTGTTAGTTGCCATCAAGTTAGTTCTGACTCATAGCATCTCTTTGCACAACAAAATGAAACTGTCAGGTCCTGCCCCCTCCTCACAATCTTTGCTACATTTAAGGCCCATTGTTGAAACCACTGTGTCTATCCATCTCATTGAGAGTCAGCCTCTTTTTTGCTGACCCTCAACTTTAGTGAGAAAGATATCCTTATCCAAGAACTGCCCACCTTGATAACATGTCCAAAATACTTGATACATTGTCAGAGTAATGACCACTGATTTATACATGCCTCCCTGTGTCCATGCCCTTGGGTATCACCTCACACACTAGCTCTGGGCTTGGCCATGCTACTTCATTTGGATAATAGGACAACAGGCAAATATGACAGAGAGAGGGACTAGAAGAGTGCTTCCCCTTGAAACTTGTCCTCTTTTGGTGCTCACAAGTCTCGGCTATCCCCTTATTCTCTTCTAACAACTGCCTTTTAGCCTATGTTCAGGTTCCTCATGAGCACAATTAAGTGATCTGGAATACCCATTCTTTGCAATGCTAGCCATAGCTTGTCATGATTTACACAGTCTAAAACCTTGCATTATCAATAAAGCATTGATAATGCTTTATTCTATGCTTTCAGGCAAGATTCATCTGATCCAGCAAAAGCTATCCCTCATTCCCCATTCTCTTCAGAATCTGACTTCAATTTCTGAGTTTCCTATTGATGTACTGCTGCATGGATTTTGAATAATCTTTAGCAAAATTGTACTTGCATAATGATATTATTTAATAAATTCTGCATTCCATTGGGTCACCTCTCTTTGGAATGGACACAAATATGGATCTCTTCTAATCAGTTGGCCAGGCAGCTGTCTTCCAAATTTCTTGGCATAGTTGAGTGAGTGCCTCCATTGTTTCAACAGTTTGTTGAAAGATTTCAATTTGTATTCCAAGAATTCCTGGAGCCCTGGTTTTCCCCAATGCTTTCAGGCACCTTAGACTTCTTCCTTCAGTATCATTGGTTCTTGATCATATGTTACCTCTTGAAATGGATGAATATTAACCAGTTTTTTCAGGTACAGTGACTCTGTGTATGCCCTCTATTTTTTTTTTAGTAATGAGATTACTTTTTATTTTAATTTTCACCATTTACATACAAACACAAATTAATAAAACACAGCCCAAAACAGTAAAATTTCATAGTTAATATGTATAGGTACATAGTTTCATGCTCACATCTTTTTAAGTACTTTATGTATTAACAAATTTCACAGCACATCATTATTCTTGAACAAAAAAAGATCATTAAAAGACACCTAAAATTTTTATAAGCTATAGAGCAAATCACTCACCACTTCTCAACAACACCAACAAAAATAGTGAAGACTTAGAAATCCATGGTAGTCACTTAGGTGGGTTTTTTTGTTTTTGTTTTTGTTTTGTTTTGTTCACTTAGGTGTTTTTGTTTTAGCGTTTTGAATTCGAAGCCACAATATCCACAGCACACAAGGACCCTGCTACCAGATCTTCATTTCAGTGAGAGGGAAGCACTGAAATGCTAAGCGGGGGCAGGAACAGATACTGCAATCATTGCTGATGGACGACTTCAAAATACACTGTAAAAACTTTAAGAAAATGTTATAGCTGAGAAAATTGGAATTGAGCACTGGTACAAGATGGAACATCTGTCAGAAGATCTCAGGAAACTGGTAGCAAAGATCTTCTTAGGCTTCAGGTTCATGGTCTTGATATCCTTCCTCTGAAGGCTTTTCATAAGCTTCCAAAGACATATCTTCAAGAACTCTTTCCTGTGAAACTCCTCCTTCACTCTTGCCTATCTGATCCTTTTTGCCAAAGTCAGTGGTAGCTGCCATGTTTCCTGCTCCTTCCACTGTTTTTGTGTGCTACTGCGGTCACACATGTTACCACCGCTTCTTCAACATTTGTTACCTGTTCTTTGGTCTTCTTGGCCACTGTAGCCACACCATGAACCACTCCTTCCTTGGTTTTGGAACCTACATAGAGACACCCTCTTTTGTCTTTCCAGCAGCTTCTGCCACACCTTGTTTGGTCTTTTCAGCAGCAGCCACAACACTCTCTTTAGCCTTTGAAAGTCCTTTCATGAATACATCCATGGCTACTGAATTCCTTTATACCACACTCCCAGTCCTGCATTTCCATTCTCAGGTGGCTCACCCTCTCTCTTCAGTCCCCTTCTTGTCACTGTAGTCTTCCTCCTCCATGCCTTCTATTTTTATTTGACACTTTCTGCATCATTCATTATTGTACGCATTGTTGTTGTCAAGTGACGTCCTATCAGCTCTGACTCAGAGCCATCCTGTATAGGGTGTCTGAGGAGCACCTGATTGATAGGAACCAAGGACCTTGAAGTTAGCCGCCCATTGCTTATCCTACAGTATCACAGCAGGACTCCATAATTTTTGGGAGTATGATTTCTTGTCTACTAATTATATGTGCTTTAGTGCATGCAGTTATTTTATTTACTTCTACTGCTATGTGTAGATGTTGTTGTTAAGTGCCATTGAGTCAGTTCCAACTTACAGTGACCCTGTATAGAGTTTCCAAAGCTGTAAATCTTTGTAGGAATAGAAAGCCTCCTCTTTCTTCCACAGAGCAGCTGGTGGGTTCCAACCACTGACCTTGTGGTCCACAATCCAGTGCTTATCCTCTCGAGCCACCACGTTATATGTACATGGAATCCTTCAATATTGCAATTCAAGGTTTGAATTTTTGCTTCAGTTTTTTCATCTTGAGAAAAGTTGAGCACATTCTTCCCTTTTGGTTTTCTTACTACAAGTCTTTGTACATACATTTCATTATAATGCTTGACTCTGTCTTCTTAAGCTCCCTTTTGAAATTTTCTGTTCAGCTTGGTGACTTCCTTATTTCTTTCATCTGCTTTAGCATCTGCATGCTGGAGAGCAAGTTTCAGAGTCTTCTCTGATATTCATTTTGGTCTTTTCTTTCATTCCTGTCTTTTTAACGAACTTCTGATTTCTGCCTATATGATGTTTTTGATGTCATACCACAATTCTTCTGGTCTTTGGTCATTAGTATCTAATACATCAAATCTGTTCTTGAGATAGTCTCAAAATTCAGTTGGGATATATTTGAAGTCATATTTTGGCTCTCATGGAGTTGTTTGAATTTTCTTGAGTTCAACCTGAAGAAGCAATTGATGGTCTGTTCCACAGTCTGCCCCTGGCCTTGTTTTGGCTGATAATATGGAGCTTTCCCACCATCTCTTCCCATAGATGTAGTCAATTTGATTCCTGTGTATTCTATCTGGTGAGGTCCAGATGTATAGTAACCTTTTATTTTATTTTAAAAAGATATTTACAGTGAATAAATCATTGCTTTTGAAAAATTCTACCACGGGATTTCCAGCATAATTTCTATCATCAAGGCCATTTGTTTCCAACCTTTACATTCCAATTGTCAGTAATCATCAATGCATCTTGATTGCATGTTTGATGAATTTCAAACTGAAGAAGTTGGTAGAATTCTTCAGTGTCATCATCACTGACTTTAGTGGTTGGTGCATAATTTTGAATCATAGTTGTATTAACTGGTTTTACTTGTAGATGTATGGATATTATCCTATCACATACAGGATTGTGTTTCAAGACAGATCTTGCAATTTCTTTTTGATGATGAATGTGATGTCATTCTTTTTCAATTTGTTGCTCCTGGCATAGTGAACCATATGATTATCAGATTCAAAACAGCCAATACCAGTTCTTTAGCTCATAAGTGCCTACAATGCCAATCTTTAAGTGTTCCATTTCAGTTTTGGCAACTTTCAATTTCCTTAGATTCATATTTCATACAGTCCATGTTCCTATTATTAATGGATGCTTGCATGTTCTGTTATAGAATAACTAACAGCTCCCATTTGAAATATTATAGTATAACTAACAGCCTCCATTTGAAATATTACAGTATAACTAACAATTGCCATTTGAAATATTATAGCATAGTTCACCCTGCTCCCCTTTTCCCCTAACTCACCCATGGAAAAATAATAAATATATTTCTTACAGAAAAACCTTGAAGGCCAGAAGGAACCAAGGACATCTGAATAAACAAGATAAAACTTAGCCCTTCCATACAACCAAGATAAGGGTTTATTAGTGGGTTTACTCCCACTTACAGGATAAGGGTCTGCTGGAATTTACCACCCCAGCTGACAAGACAAGTCTGTGTGTTCTAACCACTCTGTGTTTTTGTATAAGACCCTGTTCCCCTGCTCACTTTGGGGTCAGAGTGATTTGGGCTTGAGCTGACACTCTGGCCGCCGACAATAAACTTTGCTTTTTAAGTTTTCTGAGTTAAGTTCTTTCTGACTCATATTGTCACAACAGTTTTTCTCCTCATTTTGAGTTGTGCCACATCAACAAATGAAGGTTCCAAAAGCTTTCTCCATTCTCGTCATCATGGTCAACTCTACTTTGAGGAGGCAGCTCTTCCCCAGTCATATTTGAGTGCCTTATAACCCGAGGGCTCATCTTCCAGCACTATATCTGAAAACCTGCTGCTGTTGTTCATCAAGTTTCCATCTTCTGACACTATATCTAACAATGTTCCCCTGCTATTTATGAGGTTTTCAGTGGCTAAACATTCACAAGTAGTCTGCCTCACCTTCTTCTTAATCTATCTTAGTCTGAAAGCTGTGCAGAAACTTGTTCATCATGGTTGACCCTGCTGATATTTAAAATACTGGTGGCATAGCTGCCAGAATCACAGCATGTAAGCCAATACAGCACAACAAACTGACAGACAAATGGTGACTTGTATGACAGACAGATGACAGACTATTAAGAATTGACAGTCTTCATCAAAATCTAATAGTACTACCTCATTTTAAAAACCTTTCCCTCAATTCAGAGGCAATATAAGCACAGTCAAACTTTTAATAGCTCTTCTTGCGCCTTGCATGTTAGCTGTGAGATCCTTTCACAGAGAAACAGCCACATAAATCCATATTGAGTGGTTTAGACTCACCTCATTCTCTCTGCCAATAAGAGCAAATGCTCAAGAGATCGTTTCCCTCCTTTTTTGCACAGTCTAGTGAGTACAAGGTGATGCTCACTAGAGTGGGAAATCAGTGTTTCGAGTGATGGCAACCAGGAAGGGACAGGAAGAGCCTCCCTCCTCTTCCCTCCCAGGAATGCTTGTGGTATCCAGTGGAGTCAGATGAGAAATGGGCAGGTGGTGACTTAAACACCAGAGTGAAGGAGCATGCTCGCTTTTGCAGAACATACACTAAAATGGGTGCAATCCAAGGAAGATGAGCATGACCCCTGTGGCAAGGATGATAAGCAAATTCATAAAGCACGCTACATTTGTTCATTAGTGGTTACCAGCATTAGATAGAGAAGAAAAGG